GGACCTAACAATTAATGGTCAGATTTTCAGTGGTGAAAGGTTGGCCAATGTTATCAATGAACATTTCATAAATGCGGGTTCCTTTATTTTAACGGATGAAAAGCCAGATAATGCTCCAACTCCTAATAAGTCTCCGTTGCCGCATTCTATTTTTCTCGCACCCACAGATCCGGTTGAAGTAGAAAGATTAATCACAAAACTTAAAAACAATGTTGCATCAGGGATTGATTAGATAGGTTCTCTTGAGTTAAAAATGATGTCAACATTGATGTCTAATGTCTTTGCCTATATTATCAACCTCACCCTCACTAACGGTGTATTTCCAGAGAAGTTAAACGTGGCAAAAGTCACTGCAGTACATAAAGGTGGTGATAATAATACTTTAGCGAACTATCGACCTATATCCGTGCTTCCAACAATATCAAAAATATTTGAAGGGGTTATTTATGATAGACTTGCATCCTTTTTTGATAAGCATCAAATAATAACAAAAAGTCAGTATGGTTTTCAAAAAAATAAATCAACAGAACAAGCTCTACTGTATATCAAAGATAAGATAATCGAAAATATAAAAAGAAAAATATACTCTTGGGCTCTTCCTCGATCTTCAAAAGGCATTGACTTCATACAATTCAAATCATTAATTCATAAATTATCAAGTTATGGGGTGTGTGGCGTTGCATTACAGCTGCTTAAAAGTTACCTTGAAGATCGTTATCAATATGTACAACTGAATAACACTATTTCTGCAAAGATAAAATTAAACCAAGCAGTCCCCCAAGGGTCTATACTGGGGATATTATTGTTCCTTGTCTATATAAATGATATTGTCGATATACCTCATTCTCCTGAACTTATAATGTACGCTGACGATACGAGTGTTTTCTTTTCATCAGACAATCTAATATCACTTGAGGTCAGTGTAAATAATTATCTAAGCAATCTTTCAAATTGGTTAAGGCAAAATGGACTGCGCTTGAATGCAAAAAAACAACCTATATGATATTCCGACCTATAAACAAACCTATTAGTAACATAGCTGTAAAATTCGAAGGAAATTGCATCGCACATGTTAGGGAACAAAAGTTTCTTGGTGTATGGTTTCAGGAGGAATTAAACTGGAGCACACATGTAAATCATTTGATCACCGCATTAGCGCGAATAGTTGGTTTTTTTTTAGAACAATGCACTTAATCCCATTGAGGTTAAAAATAAGTATGTACTATGCACTCTTCCATTCTAAAGTAACTTATGGGATGTTAGTCTGGGGAACGACATCACAAGGGAATTATCATAAGTTAATAACTATACAAAAGAAAATATTGCGCTGCTTTGAAAAATACAGGGGGAATCTACAAGACTTGCACACTGCTCCACTATTCATTAAACATTCCATACTATGATTTGATCAATTATATCATTTTAAATTGCTTAAGTGAATACAAAAGACTCAGCTATATGAAGAAAGTTGCACCGAAAGACCACACTACAGTCTGCGAGAACAAAAGAAACGAGCTCCTAGAACAAGAACCAAGTATAAAAAACAAAGTGTTGCTTACCAGGTACCTCAAGCTTTAAATACCCTTGCAGACCAATTGAACTTTAGGGCTAGTAGTGCCACTTTCAAGAAACAAATAAACAACTTATTCATAACTACCGGTCTACACTATCTAAACTACGTAATTGAGCCTCATGCCTTTGCAAATGCTTAAATTGTTCATAAATTTCTATGTCAATTATACGAGTGTATACAGCGCAATTCATTGTATCCGCATGCATTTTGTGTCTGTTTTTAAGTTGTTTCATTGATATCGTTTAGTTGTGAATTTTTACGAGAGTGACCTCTCATTCTTAAAATGTGTTATGTAAACTTCTTATGCTATTTATGTTTGATTTTTGTGTGTACAATTGCAGGTTCCTTGAAACCAATGTATTGAATATATATATTGTTTGTCAGTGCTGATGTCTAAGCTTTGCACTGTCACGAACTGCGGAGGGACAAGGGCCTTTGTCAGGCTGTTCGCCTTTAGCCCTTTGCCCCTGCAGTGAGCTCTGTATCCGGCTTACTGTAAATAAATGTACTACTACTACTACTACTACTAAAAAAAGAAAAGACGGAGGGGGGCTCTCAAAAAAGAAAGAAAGAAAAAAACCTGCTGTGGAAAGTTGTCCTGCATATTTTCGCAAATTGTTGGCTTTTGCTCGGCGGTGGCCTTGTAGACAGACGGTGCAAGAAGCTCGGTATCTGTGTGTCTGGTTGGGCTGATGAATCTCACGTGTTTCCTACAGCATCGAGCGACCTTGCGCTTCCGAGCGCCTCCGAACCTGCACGTCGCGGATATCTCAATTCCGAGCCGAATCGCCAAGAATTGCCAGTGGTAACAAAATCAATTTGGTGTCATCGTCCGTACTTGCCTACTTCGGAAGCAATGAGCAAAATGCTTCACTTTGTCGTCGGCACTAAGCCGCGGCCGCCAGTGACCAGTGGGAGTGTGTCGCCGGGGCAGGTGAAAGAAGCATCGCATATATTTTGTTCCACAGTAGGTGATGTGTGCATGAGTAAAGTGCTGCCCGAATCGCCCGCCTCATGCGCCAACTGTTCTCAAACATGTAGCACGAAGCCGATAAGAGGCAGACGGAACCAACAAGCGGCTGCCGGTGAGCACGAAGAAAACCTGGACGGTGGTCTTTCGTTGGGAGTATGCATACACCGCCCCGTCCCCGTAAGATAGCGGTCACGTGTTCATTTGTGTCTGAAATGACCACGAAATTTGCACAGGATACGTGTTCTGCGATCACCAGCTGTGTTTCATCGGATAGCCGTGCTCCTCGAAAAGGCCTGGCACGCCGTCGGTATGCAGCTTGTATGCAGGCGTGGACCGCTCTTCTACGCCCGTTGTGAAGAATACGTGCTGCTACTGTGTTTGTGCACCGTCGCTCAATGAAAATCATTGAGCTGCCATGGTTTGTGCGTACTTAGGTATATTTTATGGACTTGTGCATCAGCAGTGCTAACACGCGTGGGGCCATGAGCCCAGTGTGCCAAGTAATTATTGAATAATCAAAAAGGTGAGTTCGGGTAGATTTCAATAAAAGGACGGTGTGACAATTAGTGCCCTGCAGCCCACCCTAAGTTTGGGCTTGCACCTGCAACCTTTGTTGTTAATCTATGCAAAAAGAGCTCTCGTACCGGTACTACACGGCCGGTCAGAAAGTCGTGCCTATATATACCGGATTGTCGAAGCGTAGTCGAGCTACACATGCAGTCTGTTCAAGTGGTGTATTATTCTGCATTAGTTGTGTCTGCGTGTATGTCTGTATGTGAATGTATGTGTCACTGATTCTGCCGTTTAATAAATTCAATCAATTCTGCTATTTAATAAATTTGTCAACTCTGGGCGAATGCACGTGACAATTTTTATTTTTTTACCACCGAATATATCTCCCAAAAATCACCTCAAAAACCTTGTGAAGGCAGTAAAAATTTACTCTCTCTGTACTCGCTCAAAACCTCACTGGTGTAAATAAATACTACTCTCCCTACGTTCAAAAACTCAGTTAGCACGAGAGTAAATTTTTACATCAATAGTAGGTTGTAAAAAAAACCCAGGAAAGGTAGTGCGCTAGAGGACAAATGGTTTACCCAGTTTTTGAGGTTATTTCAGGTCATTTTCGTTAGTGTGTGACACAACTACCCGAGCAACGCCGTGCCACTTCCTCTATGATGTACCCCGACAGGCGACCATCGCGGCAAGTATCGATCCCCCCTGCAGCAAATGGCATCCATGTCTCCTCTGTGGTTTCGGGGAACTTTTCCGGTGATGCATTACTTCGTCCAAACAATGCCTATCTTAAAAATGTCCTATCTTAAAGTCCTATCTTAAAAATGAAGTTGGGCTCCTGCTCTCTCCCTCCTTCGCCCTCCCCTCCCCCTCGTGACTTTAAAGGGTCACTCACCACCCCGCGTTTAAAGACAAAGAGGTGATTTCTCCTCTCTTTCATACACACGATGCGTCATCCTTGCCCCTTAGTTCTTGAATGCCCGTGAAGAATATAATAACTAAGCACAAGAGCCTTACTGGATTTCGTGCTTCTCAGGTGCACGCTGTTATTGCCACTTGCGCAGTTGTAAACACAAGAAAATGAAGTTTGAGCGGTTGATTGTGCACGACATTCATGAGAGATAAAGAAGAAAGGATGGGTGGCTGCATGGCAAAGCAGTGCAGGAGAAAAATGTAATGTGATATTTCGCGTATATGCACGAATCTAAAGCATGCACGCAGTAGACGTCACGGGAAGTACTGTATAAGTCACCGTAGTGCGCCAAGAAGGACGAGAAATACGAGGAAAGAATATTGCGCTCTTTTTTGTATTTTGGGGCTTGGTGAATGGGCCTTTAGGCTCTGGTTTTCATGCAGTTTTGCAATGTCTTCATGATTGGGCCGACTTTCCCGAGCAATTATGGCAGTGAAGACGACCTTTTGACGTCACCTAATAGGACTTCATAACTTTTGGTGCCTCGTGACGTCAAAACGGCGTGTTATGACGTCATAACGTGATAATTTTTTGCATCATTCATGCTGACGGCTCTGTCGGAAGACACCGACGCTAAAAGCCAGTGAACTTTCACGCTGAATAAGGCATTTATAATATTGTCTTATTAGTGTCACTTGAAGTAGAATGATCTTTCAAGGAGTACTGCGTCACAATGCTGTTCTACCGTATTTCCTTCATACGGTGAACTGGCATCGGCGGGTATTCTTTTAAACAATACGGCAAATTCCTTTTGCTTGTGTTTTTTATACTGAGAACTTGACACCTGCAGCTTTCTTCTAAATTCAGGGCATGGATTTTAGCACGTGAAAGACACGCGGTAAAGACGAACCTTCTTCATAGCGTAGAGATGGCTACAAACGTGACTCGTATCAACCACGCATTGCGCTCTAATTGCTGTTTTCTGTAATTATTTTAGTGCGAGTCTAAACTTTTCTTGCAGGTGTCTTTGATCTGAAGGATATTCACAAATACAATGGCGGTGTTCTAGCAGGAATATTAGAGAAGACGTTGATACCATGTGCCGAGGGAAATGATAAATCGAATTTATATTGTCTACAAGTTCTGCTAACATCCGGTAGCGGTGGTGTCGTAATGCAAGCTCTATAAATTACTGAACGTAGGTGGAAGCCCCGCCATCATACCTGAATATTCCTACCTTCCTACCTACTTCCTACCTGATTTTAGAATGCTACAAATCTGATTCTAGTGAATAACAAGGTAAGAATACTTTGTTTCATACATACAACGATTTTCATGAAAAATTGCGGTTAATATGGTTGGCATATGGACGCAAGCAGGAAAGGCAGACTTGAATAATGATAATTAGAGACAAGACTTTGAAAAATTTTGTATATCGCAAAATCTCGAGCTTAGTTTTAAGCGCCCCGCTTCGTTAGGCTAAAAAAATGTGCAGCGAACATTATCCACCACTCATATGTGTAAGAGGCATCAGATCTAAATAATGCCGATGGCTATGAGCGGAACTTCACTTGTGTATTTAATGGTATACCTACATATACAATGTGTTTCTTCTAGGAAGCACCAACTATTACAAAAAGAAAAAAATAGGTACTAAGAGTCTCTATTTACCTCGATATTAATCAGAGCAATGTGGCGCTCAGCGAAATATCCTTTTAAATCTTTTCTTATTCGCACGAAGTCACACTTCGGTGACGGCGGCACCATTACCCCCCCCCCCCCTACCCCGCGCATGTCCGCGTCTTGTGCCGGAACACAAAAGACACCCGCAAAACTGTCACTCCAGGAGCGAATAAAGAACAAGACACCACCGCGCGTTCAGCAAGCCGTGCATGCGCAGTGGGTGTGCGGACCTCTTTTCGGTGCTCTTTTCTCTCGAATGAGGGCGGCGTGTATATAAGCGATGAAGCGCGCGTTCGGAATTCAGTGAAGGGCTTTTTTTACTTGGTTTTCGCTTGACTTGACGCTTTGCTTCACTAGAATAGATGCGATGTAAGCAACAGTGCCTTCAGTCAATAGTGGGGCACACCCCACTACCAGCGTCCCACCACTTGTTGAAGGGAACGATCCTCCTTCATTCAATAAATAGGAATATCAGACACAAAATAACAATAGGCATTCGCAAACCATACCCAACTACTTGACATTCACGCAATACCCCCCCCCCCTCATGTTTCTGCGACCCGTTCCGCTTGTGAGAAAATGCTGGGGGCCTTTTTTAATTCTGCAGAGCTCGGTGATTAAGAGTGATTTCTTATTGAACTTTTTTATTTTAATCATATAGGAATATTTGATACAAAAGATCTAGCACATTTTCGGAGAAATGATTTTTTTAGTCTCTGGTTAGACAACTCACCTGCTTATTTTATGTGCGGGGACTCTTAGGGGCACGGACTCTCAAACGCTGTCGTATCTTGGTATTCGCAATGTACACGGCCTATAGGTGGTGCGCCGTGCAATCCAAGGTGGCTGCGAAGAGATGGTGAACCTGTGAACTCGCAGAGGAAAATATAGGACGCACAGACCTACTCCCCGTGCCACTCTCAGCAAATGAAGTTTTGATCGCCAAATGAATGCATATCGGAATAAAGTAACAAACTATAGGAGCTTGTTAATGTTCGTTACCTCATTTCTTGCCGCAGTTTGAAGGGTGGTAGTGTCAGCTGATCGTCCGTTTATCAACTATGCGTTGCGTAATCTTGTACGTTCTACAGAAAACTGTGCGAACTATAATCTGCGTATGAACTGAACGGCACTGCGAGATAATTTGTGCCGAGCGTGCCTGGCGATTTCGCCGCAGTAGTAGGCCACTAGCGAGTAGCGCGCCGACGTGACTTAATAGGACTAAATGTTTACCGTAGCAATGGTTTGCAAGCGTATTACGCCATCGTCAATACTTGCGTCGTGCGCACCATGTAGTTGCTTCTTCAACGGAACACAAAGATTTAACTTCCCAATAAGTAGCGCTTGTGTCACAGCCGTGATCAGACTCTTAACAGTGCGCCACTCACTGCACTAAGATGTTGCAGGTTCCATCAGCGCAATCGAAACAAGAATATCAAAACGAATACACGCCTACGCTTTTTCCTAATGTCAAAATTGTGAAAATTGGTCGAACAACAGTGTCATTCGAACGGTACCGATGAAGTGCAGGAGAAGTTAGCGTTAACTGTAGTCGTAACTGCATAATATATTGATCTAATCATTTTGAGCGTATTGCTGGTATGCGGCGTTTTGTAATATTCACTGTAATTGGGCTACATGCACAAAAAAACTATGTTTTTTTTATTTTGATCTCGCTGAAGGAAAATATGCAGTAACTTTAATCAAAGTGACTTATGAGCGTGAAAAAAAAAACATTAATGCATGACGGGACGAGAAATGCAACTCTCTGCTCGCGAGCTAGCACCTGATCGTTCACCGTCACTGTCGCCTTCAGTGCATTGAAACAATCTATGCCTCGTGAAATATCTTGGACGTCAAGACGGCTTCTTTGAGAATTACTGCTGAAAGCAATCTGAGGAATTTTTTCCGCCGAACGACTTCAATAGCACAGACAACGCGCATTTGCACAACCACAACGCGGCGTCACTCACCACGTTTATCCGTGGGTGCGGATATCATTTCGCTCCGATACCCGGCAAGAAAGGAATCGCTTGCTGTGTGCTGCCATCTATAAACAAACATAAAAAAACAAGCGGCGCAGCGTGCGCCAAGGTTTGGAAGTGCAAATTGTGAGCCTGCGCTTTTGCGCTTGCAATAAATGTTATAGAATTCATGCACTACAAAATCACTGTCAAATGCTTTACGCACGTAAACAAGGTGAGTTTCAACTGCAAAAGTTAGACAATAGCATTTACTATCGAACGTGGCTGCAGAAATTCTCGCGAAGCTAACATGTATTCTCGGCGGGCTATGACCGAAAGCGCGAGTTTCCACGTAATTTCACGATACCTTTACCTCTCACAAGAACGAATCAGATTTATCGTGTACCAAACGGTCTGGTATATTCACTGATGCACACACCATACAAAGTGGTTTGTGTTCGTTTCTTTCAAACGGGTTAACACTCAGTCTAGCACCGCCGCACAAGGAAGTGTTTGCCTACTGGTCATTTTTGAGAAAACGCTCCTGAATTCTGCTAGGCAGTGTGACAGTCTAACTTTCTCAATACTCAGATAAAATCGCTTACATCCCAGCCATTGGTAACATACTGAGCGCGCGCACTAGGAAAAAAATTGCTCTTCTTTTTGTTTTTCGAACACCTTGATCACGATAAGAGCGAAGAACCTAAGCGGCCCGGGCTGTTGTATTCTGGCTTATGACTGCGCAATGGTTACCAGCTGACGTTCAAGGTTCTTACAAGTCTATGCTAGTGCGCAAAAAACGAACTGTTTGTGAAAGGTAAAAGTGGCAGACCTGTTCGTTACCGGTGTGCTGAACATACTGAGAACTCAAAAGTAAAACAGGAGCAATTGAGATTCTCCACATAAGGGTACATTCCCCGCCAGGTGTATTGTAGCCGAATGTAGTGGTAAGCTCTACTACTCCAGAGCGCACAAACTGAGGGACAGAAGGGAACGGCTCGCATATTTCAGAACCCCACTTCGGAGTATTGCAAGTAGCCACCGTCGGCCGTCAGTGTTGCAGTTGGTCGGTGAAGTAAGTGAATGATTGCTTGACTACACAAGGGGAACAACAATGAGACCAGGACGATAACAAGAAGGACACCCAAGGCGCTGACTTTCATTTTGTTTATTTATTCGGAAATGCTCATGTTTACGGTGCAAACAAGAAAAAAGCAGTACGGAAGCAACGTTATTGAGGACAAGTGAAATGAAAAATCACATTTATTTTATTTTATTTATCAAATACTGCGGAGTCTTAGTCTGAGCAGGGAGGGCAAATAAAATACTACAAAACTGAACATGTAGCAATCAAAATAGTAAGCGAAACAAGAACACTAATACTGAAATAGAGTCAATGTCAGGCGAAACGATATAAAACAAATATATAACAGTAATCAGCATTATTTTGTCGGTTTGATTACACAATTCCATTAGGTTATTGCAGGTGGGAAGAAAGAATTCCTTAATGTGTTTGTTCTCGCGAAGTAGCGTTAATGCATCTTCTTTATGGTGACGAGTGGTTCGGGTTAACAGGGGCGACAGATAAAGAGATGTGTCTAGTGGTGCATTGTTCTTGTGAGCTAGTTAAAAAAATTCCAGTCTGTGCTTTTTTCTTCTCATCCCAAGTGGTTAAATTTGGTTACCTTTTATGGGTTCTGTGGGTGAATCCTGCCTTGAGAATTTGTTAAATATTATTCTAACTGCCTTTCACTGCGCTCTCTGGAGGTTAGTGATATTAGTTTTCGTATACGGATTCCAATGAAATATGCATATTCTAATTTAGTTCTGATTAGGGTGTTATATCGTAGCAGCTTTATGTCGGATGGTGGTGCTTTAAGTTGGTGTCTCAGGAGGCGTAATTTTTTTAAGGCAGAGGTGAAAGTATTAGTAATATGGTCATTACATGTTAACGCATTCGTGAAGGTGACTCCTAGGTAGTTGTATAGCGTTACTTCATGCAGGAGGGATCAACCTACTTATACGTATGAAGCAATGGTATACTCTTTGTGTCATTCGCAATAATTTGTATGTACGCTTTTGTCTGCGCTTAGTGTCATTCCCCAGTGCATGCACCATTCAATAGTATTAACAACTTCTTAAGCTAATTTGGTTCCTCATGGAATTGTGTGTTTACACATCACGTAATCAACAGGAGATAAATGAGTCTGAACACCACCTTCTACCAAGTTGACAATGTCGTTAATCTATATGATAAAAGAAGAGCGCCGACGACACAGCCCTGCGGTGGACCTGATGTGATTGAAAAAGAGCCCGCTTTTCCACTACCGATTTCCACGAAGTGATGCCGGTTTGTCAGATATGCAGCTACCCAAGAAATTACCAATCCTGAAATGCCTGCATTTTTTAGTTTTAAAATTAATTTATCACGAGGAACTAATGATGAATCGGTGACAAATGATAAATCGGCTACAGATTAAGCTTAGCCATTACTCGTCTTGTGCAATGTTGAGAGAGATTAAAGCTTTCCAGGTGAGCGCTATGGATGTTGCTCATCTACTTTGCCCTCCTTTTTCATTCCGTTGCTTCCATGCTTTTTTTCCTCATTTGCGCCACATACATAGCGCGCCGCTGAAGAAATAAAGAAGTTGT